GCGAGTGACTGAAGCTTCCAACCGCTCCTTGTTTTCTTCTCTTTTTTTTTTTTTTTTCTGGGCCAGTTTTAGCTTTGAGGCCTTGCTGCTGAAAACATAGATACAATGTTGCGGTCCGAGCCCGGCTGAATGGAAGCCCTTTTCTGGGGTTTTGTTTAGCTTCTTATTTGCAACATAGTATATAGTTGCTTAGAGTTGCAACTGAGAGGCTGGCAAGTTAGGCGGGGAACGTTGGAGTCTGCAGCAAGCAAGCCTCCCTGCTCGCTTCAGTGCCTGGCTGCCGGCCGCCATCTTGGCTGACAGTTAATTTGCATATACTCACTGATTAGCCAATGAAAAGGGTAGCGGTCGTACGCCAATTACCATGTTTCTCTTTTATTAGTGTAGATGTGTTATAGTACTGTGTTAAAATTGCTTTAAACATTTATATGATTAAAAGACAAATAAAATGTGTATACAGTATTTTTTACATTTTTAATATTTAAACATTTCCCACTGTCTCTTCTTTACCTAAGTTACTAACTGATGTCATTTCTTTCCCTTAAATTATATGTTTATTGTTTGTATTTTGTTATTGTTTGACTCCTCTGTTAGCTGGGTGCTTTTTTAGAAATGTCTTTATTTCATCTTTGCTTTTGAAGAACAGTTTTACATAGAGTTCTTGTTCAGAATTTATTTTCTTATGAGTACTTTGAATGTTTCATTTCACATACCTGGATTCCAGTTTTAATGAGAAGTCTCTTGTTTATCATATCATAACATGTTTCCTTTTAAAAAGTTGTGTCATTTTGTTTGCTGCTTTTGCATTTTCTCCTTGTAGCTTTCCACAGTTTTATTATCATGTCTGATATATGATTCTCTTATTGTCTGTACTATTTAGTGTTTCCTTAAAGTTATGAGATTGGTAAACTGGATGAAGTTTTCATCAATATGGGAAGTGTTCCTCAATTTTTTAAAATATAATTTTTGAGGGTCTGTTCCTTTATGTTTAGCAATTTTTTATTGTCTACTGACTTTTAAAATCTGTGTTTTACCTCTTCTTTTTTCTTTCTTATGAGCTTAATTTTGTTCACTTTAGTAAGTTGCTTGTTGAGTATTCTCACCAGAAGTTGTTAACCAATTTTTCTGTTTTTATTTTAGTTTTAAATTTTACCCTAGTTTTCTTGTATTTTTCTCTGTGTTTATAGTATATTGGTGGTCAGCTAATTCTTAGAGTTAAAATAGTTTTCATAGTCCATCAGTTTTCTTATTCAGTGTCTGTTGAGAAACAAATGGAAAGTTGCAGTCAGTTGTCAAGTATTCCTTTACTTTAACTCAACCATAGATTTCCTTTAAAAAAAATTATAAACTCAGAATATTTTGATCTCTGTGTTTGGAATGTTATACAATGTTACTTTTTTATCTGGTTTCTTATTTTCTAATTGTTATCAACAGGATTTTATCATACTTCATTTATATACTCCTTTCAGCTTTTAATTTGTCATTTTTAATGTGTCAAATGTTAAAGTAGATAACAGGCAATCTGGTTAAATACATGGTTAGTTCAAGGTGTTTTTTTAATAAGAAAACTCAATGTCAGAGTCATGCTATAAAATTTTAATTAGATGATTAAAAGTGACTAGGGTATATATAACTTATCAGTTCAATTTTTATTATGTTACATTTTATTAACTGACAAATTTCATTTCACATGACAGCAAACAGGCTTACCCAGTTATTAAACTAATTATCTAATTCAGAAAGTATCATCATAAGATTTTCTCCATGTTTCTAAAGTTCCACTTAATATGGAGTTTGAAATTAAAAATGTTAGTATATGGTTATATTTCTAACTCCAATGTTACTAGCTTTCAGGTTCTCTTGTTAAAATAGTTTGGAAGCTGTAACAGTGTTTTAGTATTATCGTATTACCTTAATCAGTGTTTATACATTAGTTTATTAATTACTTTGTCAGTAAATTAGGATGAGAATCTTCTGAGAGAAATTTATGACAGCAACCAAGCACAAATTTCAGGTAAAACATACATAATTCATTGTATATTTTTATTCTATGAAAGAGTTTTTCTCTGTGTTCAAACTTTTAATTTTGATAAATTTTCCCATTAAAAGTCTTTAACAATATCAGTACATGCTCCTAATTATGTGTATCTCTTTGCAAGTCATTCAGGGGGACACTGCTAGAATGTTTTTGTGGTTTATGGGGAGAGAAAATGGAAGGGTGGAAATTCATATGAGTTATTCCTTGCAACACTTTATAGATTTTTAGTTTTGCTGTTTTGATTGAGGATAGCTGCTGTTTACATATGAAGTTTATTGATAACACTAGAAGGCCCGTGCACAAAAATTTGTGCACTGGCAGGGAAGGGGGGTCCCTCAGCCCAACCTGTGCCCTCTCACAACCCAGGTCCCCGGACTTGCTGGCTGGCCTGTGCCCCGGCTCCCTTACCTGCTGCCCGGCTTTCCGATGGCCATCACTGGCGTGAGCCGGTTGGGGGCGTGACTGCTGGCAGACCGCTGTGGTTGCCCCACCAGCCCCGATCTCCCGGAGGGAGAGCCGGTTGGGGGCTTGGCCGGTGGTGGATCACTGTGGTCACGCCCGCCAGCCCTGGGTCGGGTCACACACGGGTCGCCCGCCACCTGGGTCACAGATAGCAGGCCCGGATGGCGGGGGGGCAGGCAGGATGGCGCTGTCCCATTCTGCCTGCAGTATGCAAATTAGCCGCCATCTTTGTTGGCGGTTAACCGCCATCTTAGTTGGCAGTTAATTTGCATATCGCCCTGATTAGCCAATGGGAAGGTTAATGAAGTTACGGTTAATTACCATGTTTGTCTATTATTAGATAGGATTAAAGACTTAATGAACTTATTTTTTGTATTAAACTTATAATACATTATAGATGAGTGATTTGTTATATTTAGTTTGTGTTTATAGCTTTAATTGGAAATGGCTGTATGTATGCTTTTTCATACCTAAATTTACCAATAAATTTCTGTAAAGATGAAAATGTGTGCATCGGAATTTAACAAAGTAAACCTCAAAACCTTAATCTGAATTCTTTTTCTGTCATGTTGCATGCCTCGGTTTCACTTAGCTGCCTTTCTGGCGACTCCTCCTGTTCTTTCCTTTGGGGGTTTCTTTGTCTACCAGATCTAAATGTTGAGTTGTTCAGGGGCTGCTCTTTGGGTTGCAGTGGCTCCTTGGGCTGCGGTTGCTCCTTGGGCAGTTGTGGTAGCAGCTGCTCCTCAGTTGGCAGCCGCTCCTCTGGTGGGTGCTGTTCACTGCTGTGGTGGTTCCTCTGGCTGGTGGGGGGAGGCTTCACACACAGCTGCTGTTCCTCAGACACAGGGTGTGGTGATCAGGAGGCTGCTGTTCCTTGGATGGGGGAGGGCTACACACGCAGCTGCTACTCCTTGAACCGAGGTGGACTGCTCACATGGCTGCTGATCCTTGGATGGGGGCTGGCTTCATGCTGCTGTTGTTCCTCTGATGTGGTGGGCTGCTTGTGGGGCTACTGCTCCTAGGACTTGGACAGGTTGATTGTAAGTCTGCTGCTCCTCGGATGGGGATGGGCTGCTTGCGAGGCTGTTGCTCTTTGGACGGGAGTGAGCTGCACGTGTGGCTGCTCCTCCTCGGACGGGGACGGGCCACTCACCTGGCTGCTGCTCGTCGGACAGGTGCAGGCTGTTGTGGCTCTGCTCCTCAGACCGGTGCGTTCTGCACAGGGCTGCCGATCCTCGGACGTGGGCGGTCTGCTCGTGTGGCTGCTGCTCCTCAGACCGGGGTGGGCTGCTGCTGCTCCTCGAATGGGGCAGGCCGCTCGCAGAACTGCTGCTCCTCGGATTGGGCAGGCTGCTCATGCGGCTGCCGCTGCTTGGACGAGGGCAAGATGCTTGTGCAGCTGCTGCTCCTTGGACTAGTGCAGGGTGTGCGCAGCTGCTGCTCCTGGGATGGGGGCTGGCTGTGCAGGGCCGCCGCTCCTCAAACGTAGGAAGACTGCTCGTGAGGCTGCTCCTCCTCAGACAGGTCAGACTGCTCTCGTGGTTTCTGCTCCGTGGACAGAAAGCAGGCCGCTCACACAGCTGCTGCTCCTTGGACAGGGGCAGGCCACATAAGGCTGCTGCTCTTAGGCTCGAGGCAGGCTGTTCATGGGGCTGATGCTCCCTGGACAAGAGCGTGCAGCTCACATGTCTGCTGCTCACATGGTTGAAAAAATAATGTCTAAACCTCAAAACCTTAAATGAAGAAATACTACACCAAATAATAAAAATAGAATCACCCCAGTTTCATAATTTTCCCTAAAAGTATTACTTTAATCATTTGGTAATGGAAACTTTAAAAATTAAATTTTGGGATTTGAGGTAAATTGTATTACACATTTAACTGTGGTTTTGTGTGTGTGTGTGTGTGTGTGTGTATGTGTGTGGTTTTTTGTGTGTGTGTCTGCTTTCATTTAACATTTTTAATCCATTTTATTGTTGGATTTGAATAATTATAGATTTAAACCTTTTTAATTACTTTATTTCTGTTTCTCTTTTTTTTAAAGGGGCTTCACAAAGGTCAGAGTTCACATTTGTCAGGACCTAGTGATGAACAACCTTCATTTTCCACTGGACCTGTCCAGTATCTCCAAGCAGCTAGTGTTGGCATTCAGAAACAGATTGGACATGGAACTCTCTCTAGCAACTCAGTGACACAGGGAGCTGCTCTCAATCACCTCTCATCTCATATTGCTACCTCAGGTGGACAGCAAGGCACTACCTTTACCAAAGAGAGCCAACCTTCAGGAAATAGGTCTTTGGTGCCTGAAACAAGCAGGCATACTGGAGACATATCTAATGGCTGTGCTGTTGTCAAGGGACTTTCTAATCATGTTCAGCAGCTGACGGTAGAATCTGTTTGTGACCCTAACCATGGAAATTGTACATCACCAAATTTACTATCGAACAGTCCTCATATCTCTCCTTCATTGATTGGAAAAGCCAGTGACAGTGTAGGTACTGGAGCCTATGACAAAGCCAGTAATATTTACCCAGCTATTCATACAAAGACTAATAATTCTATTACCTCTTCACCCTCTTCAGTCGTTTTCACCACAATACCTTTTTCAAAATCTACTGAGCAGACAACCACACACAGTGTTGGCAGCATTAACAGTCCTCAAAATAGGTTACACACAATTAATAGAGAAGGACTAAAGAACATACAGAGCTCTAAAAAACCAGACTCACCTATAATTAACCTCAAATCTGATTCTCAGATTATTCCATCAATGTCTGTGTCTATATATTCAAGTTCCACAGAAGTTCTGAAGGCATGCAGGTTAGTATGGGAAATTTAATCACAAAGTGAATATTGTTGATTACTACCCAAATCAGAAAATGGAAAAAATATTTTGATTTTATAATAAATAGAAATTATATATAAAATGAGGTAGTAATTTATCTAAAATATTTTCATAAGCAACTTTTTTATGCTTCAGTATTAGTGAACATATCAACATTTTCTTTTTTATGTTTTAATTTTAGATCCTGATTTAATAAAATCATATATTTAAATTTTTTTATAATAGTACATTTACATTATGAAAAGTTAGAAAATATAAACAATAACAATATCATATTCCAGTCTCTCAGACTACCACATATTTGCTGTGTATATATACAGTTAGGTACTTCACAACATACTTCCTTTTTCAGTTTATAATTTCACGTTTTTCATGTCATAAATTTTTAATATATTTTTATTGATTTCAGAGAGGAAGGAAGAGGGAGAAAAAGATAGAAACATCAGTGGTGAGAGAAAGGGAGAGGGAGAGAGAGAGAGGAACATCAATGGTGATAAAGAATCATTGGTTGGCTGCCTCCTGCATGCCTGCAACTCGGACATGTGCACTTGACTGGAATCAAACCCAGGACCCTTCACTCTGCAGGCTGACGTTCTGTCCACTGAGCCACGCCAGCTAGGGCTCCATATCAAATTTTAACATGTAATACCATCCATATTTAAACATTTTCATTGTTCCAGAAGTAACTATTTCAAAGGCTTAATAGTTTTTAATATTTGCTTTCCATTTAAAATATTAAGGATTTAAAAGTATCTGATGTTTATACTAAAAATAAAGAAGTTTGAGTTAAGGAGTAATTTTCCTACATATTTAGAATTTATAACTTAGCAGTATGATTCCTTTAGTTAAAGAGAAAAAAACGTTCATCCAGATAAGTATGTATAATACTAGAGGCCCAATGCACAAAAATCGTGCAAGGGGGTTGGCACTTGCAGCTGTGGTGGCTTGCCTCGGCCCTCACAGCCCCAGCTTTGTCCAGAAGGTCGTTCAGCTGACTGATCTAATTAGCATATTACTCTTTTATTATTATAGATGAGAATTCATAGCAGCTATACAATTGACTTTAAAATTATTATAATTATAAATTTAAGAAAGTAGAATCTTGCTGAATATCATTTTTGAGAATAGAGAACAAGTGGACTTTCTAGATTTTAAAGTGATCACATAGGTATTCTGGAAATAGTTAAAATATATAGAAAAGGAGAGAAGTATTAGAAATTGATATAGATATAAAAACTTGTTTTTTGTATAAGTTGCTCTTTTAATAGTAAGTGAAGAAAATCTAAGGGTAAATACGTTGAGAAATTTGGATTATTTATATCATGTGGCTATAAATATATCTTGTTTAATTTTGATTAAAAGGTATAAAAAGTCAAATTGAATATGCGTTTAAAGTTACAATTATTCTGTCTTGTTATTTTACTGAATAGATTACAAATATCCTAAATGATTTTATTTTTATAAATGCCCTGTACTTAAAACTTAGATTTAAAATATCTATTTTCAAAATTAATAGCTGATGCAGTTTTTCTAATTATTATTTTACAGGAATTTAGGTAACAATGGCTTGTCGAATAGTCCCATTTTTTTTGATAAATGTCCACCTCCAAGACCACCTATGTCACCATACCCTCCCTTGCCAAAGGACAAGTTGAATCCACCTACACCTAGTATTTATGTGAGTCTCATTAATTACTTAGAAATCAAGTGCTGAACTTGTCTGTCTTTTGAAGATATATTTTAAACCAATGCAAATTAAATTGATTTTTAGAAGTTAGGTAAGGTTAAATTTTTTTCTCAGTAATTTGAAGATTTTGCAAAAATGTGTATCTCAGAGAATGGGTGACAAATTTTAGAGGATGGATGACAATTTGTATCTCTCAGTCTAAATATGGTAAATACCTCTTTTTGTAAACAAAGTTTTACTGGTATACAAAGTGGTTTACATATATGCATTATCTCTGATTGTTTTTGCATGAGTTTGGCAGTATTAAGTTTTGCAAAAAAGAACATGTAGTTGATAAATACCAAAAATATTTATTTGTCCTCTCACAGAAAAGGTTGTTGACCACTTTTATACTTAGAAATAATTTTTAAACAATATTTAAAGTGTTTTCTCATCCATGCGTTGGGCATATGAGAGTAGTAAAAGATAATTTGTTTTTGTGTCATCTTTTTGTTAACATGTTTCTAAGACTACATTCCTCCACTTGATGGTTTGTATGGATCTTCAAATTCATTTGATTTTATGTGATTAAAAAGAAGAATTTTTTATCTTTCAAAAAAGTGGTAGTGAATATAAAATTGATGAGAATATAAAATACATATCACTAAAAAGGTTACAGTAAGTATAAGTAGATATTTTTAAATTTGAAGCTGATTTCATTTTTTACTTCTCACAAATTGAAGCATTTAATATGAAAAGTTGCTATGAATTAAAATACTTTATGTTTTTCCCAGAATCTCTTGTTATCCATTCTTGCCATTCCTTCTAACACACAAGATAAAAAAATTCTCAACTAAAAATTAAACATTAAATACTTAGAATGATTTTGCAGATGAGAGGATTTTGGAAATTTGGATCTTTTAAAAAATCTTTTTTTTTTAAATTGATGAGA